ATTTATTTATTTGAGAGAGAGAGAATGAGAGACAGAGAGCACAAGAGGGAAGAGGGTCAGAGGGAGAAGCAGACCCCCTGCTGAGCAGGGAGCCCGATGCGGGACTCGATCCCAGAACTCCAGGATCATGACCTGAGCTGAAGGCAGTTGCTCAACCAACTGAGCCACCCAGGCGCCCTAGAGTTTTAACTAATGTTGAATTTTAGTGAATCACTGTTACCAATTTATTGAGAAAATTACAGCAGTTTTACAATTTGTTTTTCTATCAAGGAGACTAATTCCGAAAATAATTTTTTTAAAGATTTTTTTTTTAATATTTTTTAAATTTATTTGACAGAGAGAGACACAGCGAGAGAAGGAACACAAGCAGGGGAGTGGGAGAGGGAGAAGCAGGCTTCCCACGGAGCAGGGAGCCTGATGTGGGGCTCGATCCCAGGACCCCGGGATCGTGACCTGAGCCGAAGGCAGACGCTGAACCGACTGAGCCACCCAGGCACCCTTTTTTTTTAAAGATTTTGTTTATTTATTTGACAGAGACACAGCGAGAGAGGGAACACAAGCAGGGGGAGTGGGAAAGGGAGAGGCAGGCTTCCTGGGGAGCAAGGAGCCTGACACGGGGCTCAATCCCAGGGCCCTGGGATTGTGACCTGAGCCGAAGGCAGACGCTTAATGACTGAGCCACCCAGGCACCCCGCCCCCCGAAAATAATTTTTACAATGGTAGTTCTGCTTTTCTTTTCAGGATAAATATTACTTGATGATAGTGGGTATCTTGTTGCTAAAATTATTGATTGGGGCGTATAGTCTTTTTTTTAGTTTTGTTGTTTTTAAATTTTTGATCCTCAGTCATATATGCCACTTAAAATAAATTGGTGAGCGTGTTACCCACATGTTTTGGAGCCATTTGTGTAATAGATTAAAGCTTTGAATGTTTGGAAAAATTTGTACCTTGCGTTATTGTGTGTGTTTTCTGTTGCATTCTCTGTTAGTGGTGTATTGATGCTTCAGTTGTGACATTTTGTATGTTTTTGGTTAGCAGTAATTAGTTTAAACTTTGTTACTTAAAATATTTTTTAATCTCTAAGTATTTTGGGGGTGTTTTAGAATGTGAGGAATACTTGGATTACCTTAAACCGTGGGTGAATGAATTGGCAGGATAAACAGAGAAATAAGAAAGAGAAGACTCTGCTTATAGAGCCAGATTTTGTGGAAGAAAAGAAAGGAATCACCAAACACTAGGCCTTACAGAAACTTGAACATTGTGCAGGACTCAGAAGATTGCTGAGAATAGTGCAGCTCCAGCCTTTGGCTTACTTAGCAGACACTACTGCTAGAGGAATTAAAACAAGGTAAGTCAAATGCTCAAATAAGGGTGATTTTTCCTCTCAGGGGTCATTTGTTATTGTCTGAAGAATATTTGATTTTTAGAATTGAGGGTGGAATTGAAAGGTGTACTGATTTGGATTCTAAAGTAAATCTTTTGGTGGAGTTAACTGCACTTTGAGATGGTTAGAAGTTCCCAGTGATGTTTGAAATATCAAGAACAGATTGGATAAAATAGTCCTAAGGTGGTTTTATTTTATGAAGTGTTTTTCTGGTGAGGGGGTTACATTGATGTGGTAGAGTAATTATTTTTATTTGACTGGCTGGTGCCCTCTATTAGAATTCTTAAAATTCAGTCATCTCTGTATTTCTTTTATCAGTTTTACTTGGTAGTGGTAGACCATTTGGCTATGCTCATGTTCTGTTAAAAATGCCAATTTGCGGGGCACCTGGGTGGCTCAGTCGGTTAAGCAACTGCCTTCGGCTCGGGTCATGATCTCAGGGTCCTGGGATTGAGCCCTGCATCAGGCTCTCTGCTCGGCAGGAGGCCTGCTTCGCCCTCTCCCACTCCCCGCTGTCTCTCTCTCTGTCAAATAAATAAATAAAATCTGGGCGCCTGGGTGGCTCAGTTGGTTAAGCGACTGCCTTCGGCTCAGGTCATGATCCTGGAGTCCCGGGATCGAGTCCCGCATCGGGCTCCCTGCTCAGCAGGGAGTCTGCTTCTCCCTCTGACCCTCCTCCCTCTCATGCTCTCTGTCTCTCATTCTCTCTCTTGCAAATAAATAAAATCTTAAAAAAATAAATAAATAAATAAATAAATAAATAAAATCTTTTTTAAAGAAAGCCAACTTTCTTTAATTTAGGTTTTTTATACTCTTTTTGTATATGAAGTATGTGGTGCACGTGCATGTGTATGTACACTACTTTTGGTATCAAAACAAATTTTTGTTTATTTTGGGTAACTTGTCTTTTACTGCATTCTGGAACAACAACAAAAATATCAGTTGTTTGAAAGCAGAGCTGTTCCCTTTGTCTGGAACACTTTTTAGCCTTAGGTGGGAATATGCTTAATGCATCCAAGAAATAATAGCAAGGGAGCCAACCTAACTGGACCAGAGTTAGTAGGGACAAAACTAGGAAGTAGTATTTAACATTGAGCCTTTGCTTTTACTCTGATTGAGATGAGAAGTCACTGAAGGGTTTTGAGCAGAGAAATAACAGAGCCTGATTTAAGTTTTAAAAGATCACTGTGGCTGTTGGGTGGAGAAGCTCAAGTGAGGAGGAAGTAGGGAAGGAGGAACAAGGCTGAAGGCAGAGTTAGGAATTCAGAAGCTGTTGGCAAAAATCCAGGTGAGGGGAGTAATGGTGACTTGGACCTGGGTAGTAATGGTGGAGATTTTAGGTGGTCAGATTTTGGATGTGTTTTGAACGTAGACAGGATTTGTTGATGATCGAATTGATTAAATAAGTTCTAAGAGAAGAATTGGGGATGATTCCAAAGTTTAATTCTAGATACTTACGGATGAACTTGACATTTACTGAGATGAGGAAAATCCTTCGGAAGCTTTAGGTTTAGGAGGCAAGATTGGGAGTTCAGATGTTAAAGTTTCAGATGTTTAGTAGCCCAATAATAAACTCTCTCTCTGGGTAGTATTCCTACTAATTTAATTTTTTTGTACTTGAATTAATTCATATTCTTTTCTAGACTTAAAAAAATCTGTTCTGATTTTTTTTGACTTATTGAGTCAATTGGGGTAAATAATTTTCAGAACTTTAATTTTGGTGAGATTTTAGAATAGATTGTATGTATACTGTAAATTAAAAAAAATGGCTAAAACCTTTGTATGTCAAAGCAGACCTATTGAATGCCAGGATACATTGACAGAAATGCAATAAGATTGGAGAATTTTCTCAAAATTTTCAAAGTAAATCTTGTGTGTTTTTATTTATTTATTTATTTATCTGACAGAGATACAGCGAGAGAGGGAACACATGCAGGGGGAGTGGGAGAGGGAGAAGCAGGCTTCCTGCCGTGCAGGGAGCCCGATGCGGGGCTCGAACCCAGTACCCTGGGATCATGACCTGAGCCAAAGGCAGACGCTTAACGACTGAGCTACCCAGGCACCCTCTTGTGTGTTTTGAAAGCCAAACTGCACTAAAAGCCTTACAGTGACAAATATCATTCCACTCCTAATCTTTCCCCATCTCCTAGTACCTTTCTCCAGGAGCTACCACTTTTATTCTTCTAGCTGTTACTCTTAGTATCTAGCTCTATATTTTTGGTAGTATGCAATAACTGCTGTATTTTGATTTATGAGTTTCAGATGTTACTGATTTTCTGCCTCAACAGTTAAAAATTTAGCTCTCTTACTTTCTTCCCCATATCCCCTTAAGAGAGTTCCATTTCAGTTATTGGTTAAGACACTAGTGAGTGGTGTTATAACTATGTAAATATTGTTTACTGCCGAGCTAAGTATTCTCCTGTAACTGTATTCCCCTCCCCTTTTTATCGCCTGGAGTTAGTAATTGCCTTGCTTTTTTTTTTTTTTTTTAAGGTTTTTATTTATTTGAGAGAGGGCCTGAGCACCAGTAGGGGGACAGGCAGAGGAAGAGGGAGAAGCTGAAGCAGACTCCCCGCTGAGCAGGGAGCCAGATGAGGGGCTGATGCCAGGCTCGATCCCAGGAGACTGGGATCATGACCTGAACCAAAGACAGACACTCAACTGACTGAGCCACCCAGGCGTCCCTGCCTTGCTTTTCTTTTGCCTAATTTTTTAAGATGCTAGGGCAATTTTTCTCCCAAATGTCATAGGCCTGGCAGTAGTATTTTTCATTCTCAAAACGAAGGCCAGTCGCTTTTCTGTGTGCATGCCCACTAGCCTCAAGGTTCATTTTGGGATTCTTCAGCTGTCTATTTCATTACAGATTGGTTGCTCTTTTGGCCCGTTCTTCAAAGTGTTTGTGCAATTGATACTGCCACCAGCAGCACTCTACCAACATTTTGTCTTTTCTAACTTTAAAATTTTAGCTGTTGTGGTGGTTGTCCATTGCCCTATTGGATTTCTTTCTCCTCCTTTTTGTGATGAACTTGTTCAAATTTCTTGTCTTTTTTTCTTCAGTTGGCCATTTCATTAATTTGTAGGATTTTAAAAAATATAATCTTTGCCCCCCACCAACTAGTTCTCTCTCTCGCTCACTGTTTCTCAAATAAATACATTTTTTAAAATAAATAAATAAATAAAATATACAATTCTCAAGTTGACATATGTAGTCCCCTAATTGACAAATACAAGGGAAAATGGAGAAATCCGAAATCATAACTGATTTTGTAAGTTCTGTTTCACCTTCACATTTTCTGTCTATAATCAAGCTGTTTGGCATTGACTTTAGTACAGATATGAAATAGGGATTCATTTTTACTTTTTTCTCCACTATTTGTTCCTGCACTGTTTCTTTTAAAAATCTATTTTCCCAGCTTTTTACTATTTATCATAAACCAGTTGACCACACATACATGAGTCTGATTCTGGGCATTCTGCTTTGCGTCATTGGTCTGTTCCATTGTTCTATTTGTCTATCCTTGAATCAGTATAACACATTACTATGGCTTTATTGATTTTATTAATTGCTGATGTCTGGTATGGCAGTTCACCTATCTTGTGGTTTTTTTAGGGTATGATTTCTTATGCTACGTAGAATAGATTTTCTTAATTTCAAACGTGGGCATTTTCTATTTAGAGTTTTGGGGTTATTCATTTCTATAAATTGCATTGTAATCAGAAAACATACTGTATGGTATCATATCTTGGATGTTTGTGGAGATTCACTTTAGGTCCTGTATTTGGGGTCGTTTTTGTAAGTGTTTAATGTGTGCTTGAAAAGAATGTGTTTTGCAGTTGTTGGGAAAATACTGTATGTGTATCCATTAAGTCAAGTTTAAAATTGTTTTGTTTAGATATTCTGTATAATTAGTGGGGGTGGGGGCGCCTGGGTGGCTCGGTTGGTTAGGCGACTGCCTTCAGCTCAGGTCGTGATCCTGGAGTCCCGGGATCGAGTCCCGCATCGGGCTCCCTGCTCGGCGGGGAGTCTGCTTCTCCCTCTGACCCTCCTCCCTCTCATGCTCTCTGTCTCTCATTCTCTCTCTCTCAAATAAATAAATAAAATCTTTAATAAAAAAAAAAATTAGTGGGGGTGGTTTTGGTTTTTTGTCTGCTTGTTACATCAGTTGCTGAGAAGAATGTGTCCAAGTGTCTCAGTTATGATTTTGGATTTCTCCATTTTTCCTTGTATTTGTCAATTAGGGAACTACATATGTCAAGTTGAGAATGGTATATTTTATTTATTTATTTATTTATTTATTTTAAAAGATTTTATTTATTTGAGAAAGAGTGAGCGAGAGAGAGAGAACTAGTCGGTGGGGGAAGAGGCAGAGTGAGAGGGAGAAGCAGATCTCCTGCTGAGCAGGGAGCCTGACCCCAGGACCCTGGGATCATGACCTGAGCCGAAGGCAGATGCTTAACCAACTGAGCTACCCAGGCACCCCAAGAACTATATATTTTTAGTTTATGTCCTTAGATGGGTGCAGTTTGAAATTGTTAGAGCTTCCTGTTAAATTGAAGCCTTAATCATTATGTTCCTCTTTAATATTGGCTTTTCTCTTAAAGTTGCTTTGGTATTAATGTAGATATACAGACCTTCCTTTGGTTAATATTTGTATTCTCTATTTGTCTTTTACGCCTCTCTTCATTTTTATGCTCTAAGTACATCTCATAATCTCGATTTATCTGGAGGATTTTATCCATGGACATGTAATGTGATTTCTGATATATTTGGGGTTAAATCTATTTTTATTTCATGCTATTTGTTGTATGTTTTTCTCTTTTTGTCATTAAAATCTTACCAGTTTTGGGGGTAATGTCAATTCAGTCATATTTTTCACCTGCAACTTAAAATATTAGCTACCACATTCGCCTTTCATATATGGTAGAGAAGGAGGAGGGGGAAAAGAAACAACATAAAACAGCTG